ACATGGTGACAGACTGACCTTGTGGGATAAATGTGCGTGCATACTAGCCGCATTGCTATGGATTATTAGCAATGCTTGCGCATAAAACAATGCGAAATCTTTTCAAAACTCTTTTGTGCCACTAGAACGATTCGCTTATGAGGGAGAATAGTTTCAATTTCAACTGATCATCTCCTTTTCCGCGCACCATTTCACAATTTCCACCAAAATTTGTCACTTCTGTTCGCCTTTCTCGTTCACATTTACCAGAATTCGGCTCCAAGATGTGCACATTTAGCCGCTCTGCCGTATATATCGGCACGTAATACAATTTCCAATCGGCGGCGGCCAGCTGGTGGTTACAGAGCCGCGGTCTGTCCCCAGCCGGCGCAATTTTCAACAGACTCGCGGCAGACAGCGCTTGGCGGAGTCGGGACACAGCCGTGCCGCACCGCGCTGTGCTGCGTCGGGTCAGACCGGGCAGAGTCGAGAAGGGATGGATTGGGGCCAGGGTTGGTAAGGAGAGCATCCGCCCACTCGTCCTCAGTAGATGCGAGATGGGTTGGGTCGGGTCGGGTCAGGGCTGTGTCGGACAGAATCAACCCGTCCTCAGTCACAGCGGGATGGGTTGGGACGGGCTGGGTGCGAGAGAATCCACCCGTCCTCAGTCACTGCGGGATGGGTCGGGTATGGAAAGGATCCACTCCCCGCCAGCCGTCCAGTGTCGTTCCATGCATGACCTGCGGCGACTGGGGGTCGTTAGCGGGTAGATATTTGATCCGTCAGCCGGTGCGACAGCTGCGCTCGCCGAGTCGACGGCTCGCAACGGCGCCAGAAACGGATGGCGACCGCCGCTGATGACAGGCCGCTGAGACCAAAACCGCTGCGCCGAGCAGCCAGTTCCAGAGATAGATGGGGTGTCATGTTTTCGATAAAAGCCCGATGGTGGTCGTATGGGCGCTGTATTATGTATGGGATGGTTTAGTAAGGTAATCGACGGATGTTTTCGGCAAAAGATTGATTTTCGTTATGTAGATGAATGTGTTTTTATGCAAACAAGATAAATAAATATTATGGCTAACAATACACACCAAATCCCAATACATTACAGTAGCAATGATACATAAGCATAATTACACGTATAACCTGCTGTGAACTAATTTCTGCTGCGCTAAAATAAAAACATTATTTTGGTGAGGACCCGCTGACGTTCATCAAAATCTCATCAATTTGATCATGATTCATAGCTGCACTGAAATAGCCGGCCGCCGACGCGCTTTTCGGAATGTCACGCCGGCTCACCGGTAACGACGATCAAACCTCGGAATGGCATGCCCGTCCGGAATGTCTGCCACATGAAATTTGAATCATACGCTCACCAGGCCACCGCCAGTCGCCAGGCCTCAGTCCGGCCGACATGCCACGTAGAGCCTCGGCGTGCTGCGGGCCGGGCGGCAGGAGTAAATCAAACAAACCATTAAGCACAGCGGTCCGGTGTCAGCCGTCCCGCTGCCGGCCGCTGACACCGCTCCGACAATAGAGTCGTAACGAGCGCCGCTGTGTTCTCTCACTTATTAACATCTTGACTATCAATTTGGCCTGATGGTGCGGTGGCCGCGAGCCGGCCCGCATAATTCATACTGTTTGACCAATAGTTGGGACGGCCATAACTTGGACGGTATTGATTGATACAAACCTGCCAGTGCGCCGACTGGATGACAATGAGCTCATCCTACCGCAATGATTGGGTCAAACTCAAACCGTGGCTTTACTTGACCGTGGCTTGTACATACATACGATGCCCATTATCAAAAGGGGAGCATGAATCATACATAGCCCTGGCCAACAGTGCTTATGGTGATGTTAGAGGCATTCGCAAACCACAAACACAAGTAACAGATACCCAATTTGAAAGTGCCAAGTATTTACGTAAAAATAACCAGTATGCAATAGGTTTCTGTCGAAAGGTGTCACAAAATAAGCTGAATTTTGGACTACGAAAGTTCACCTGTCTTAGGCACCAGCGAGTCTTCTTCTTATACTACTAAAAGTAGTGCGTGCCACTGCCTATACCTACAGTGAAACCAATAACAAACGTAATGCCAGATGATCAATGGAACACACATGAGACCCACACAGCTAAGGTCTTACGCCTTCTCCATTAGATCTCTCTTTGCGGCGGCTCGGTCAGTGGGAGAGAACATATGCATCTCGACGTCGTATGTAGGTACCTGTCCGCGGGAGGACCAGCGCTGCACGCGAAGGAGCTCCGCCAGGCCGGCCCGTACAATTGTTGAAACTCAATTCGGCAGCGTTGATAAATTATTCGATGCTCAGTTCGCTACCGTCTGGTCAGGCGCGACTACCGGTCATAACTCATAGATGGCTCAGGAGCGAACCGCAGCACGCCGACGGCGCGCCACAGAGCACTGAGGGTCCGCCACTCGGCGGTCAACTGCTCACAAATGCACGAACTGTCTACCTCTGCTAGTGTCAGGGTAACCAGCGGTGGGGTGGGCTCGGTACTTTTGGGGTGAGTAACCAATGAGTTCGGGAGGTCATTTGGAGTTGTCTAGAACTGTGCGGCGAGTTCTTAGGGTTGGTGATATTGAACTTATCTTATCGTTATCGCAATCTGTCATTATTCGAGCAACCTTTATCCCACCTTTGTTTATGAGCGAACTGACGACTTACTATTTATTATTTTTCATGCAAGCTACAGGGTGGGGCAGCATAATCGGGAATGCTTTTTGGGCTCTGGTCATGAGTATGCATGGCATTATTTTGACAAATTATATCATGGCAATGAAACGCCCAAAAGTTGTGCATCATCTGACATGACTACATCCATGAGCATGCAACTTCCTGGAAAAGAGCAGCAAAATAGTTCGACGGTGCTCCAAGTTCTTTGCGCGCGCCCATAGACACTAATGTTAAACGAGTAAAACAAGAACATTTTGTTTAAAACAATGCCATTCCACGTAAAGGTTGCTGGACAGGTCAACGTGTTATCACGGACGATAAGGATTGTGTGGGGATACTTAGGACAAAAAGTTAACGTAATCGTCGTAAAATAACTCTTAGCAGAGGACATACAAGATGACTCACTTGAATATAAGGAAGAAACTCTTGAGCATATTAAAAAGAAACAATGTTCAAAACTTCAGCGACCAAAAATCTTATCACCGACTGGAATACGATAAAAAAGAATAGCATGCCATATAGGGGATTGTATCGAGAATATTGCAGCGGTCATGCAAAGTAAACATCCTGTTGAGGTGATGGACCTATGGGTGGTCTTCAAGGGAGGTGCACGTGGTGCACCCTACTTCATCGAGCCCGGATAAAACGAGCACCTCTGGTAAATACATCCACACTCTGGCAGACTCACGTGGAGTCGTCGGAAGAGAGGATCACTGACGGTCCAGATCACGTCTTATGAGGACTCTGTCCGTGCTGGTACTGCAGTGAGGACGACATGTTATTGTGTAGGGCACCTCCACCTGAGATGAACCAAAAACTTCTGGTCCTTCAACTCCGCCGATTTAAATCCGACCAAATTCTTTATATGGAGCGTTTTTTGGTAGAAGTTTAATGAACAACTTATCATCAGTAAAAACGGTCTTCAGTGCAAGGTACGAAGCTGATGGGCGAGCATGGACAAGCAGGAGGTTGTACGTGCATGCGCGTGCTTTTGGACCCGCCTTGAGAAGGTCATCGACGCGAAGGGCGGTCAAATAGGATGAGGGACAGGTAAAAGGTGACCGATTGATGGGATGTTGTTAAAATAGTGCTTGGAGCTATATTTTTAAATTCATGACCAAATAATCCCGTTTGATATTTATTCCCGATTATGCTGCCCCACCCTGTATTGTAATAATTTTATTTTGTTTATGTGTACTTTACCACTGTAAAGAACGCCAACATGACATGAATGCAATTCATCCTGACGAAACCAAATTCATTCGCCTGAACACTTGATATGAATAAAACAACATCCAATTTCATTGGAGTATCAAAGCTTTCTGCACTCAAATCACATTCTTCACAGCAAGTCGCGATCTCAACCTTTGAAGGATCAAAGTTCTGTTGCATCGAACCTGACCAGAAATACAGTCTGAGACACTTTGCCACATCGGCTCTGTTCTCTCATATACTGCAGGTGACAAATGTCTGTGATTGGTCGGCTGCTACTGAGTCGAATACCACGACCTTCTGTAGCGTCAGAGGCCGTGCGCTGACCGTTCAGAGGCATTCAGAACGGCCACAAAGGTCATCTGCAGGGTCACGGCGTGGTTCAGAGCGCCACCAGTCTGGCCGCAGCTAGTGGCAATTACTTCTTCTTCGACCACTGATCTAATCGTCCAAAGGTCGTCCCAGCCAGGTGTGATAAATTCAGAATTTACAGCTGCCACAATAGGCTCGTGGGCGTCGTGAACGGAAATGTCTCGGCCAAGGCTCGACGTCCGAGTCTCGAATATCCGGATAAAGTGTCCTTATGATAAAGGTGGAATGTCTTTGTGGTGGTATATAACTCTCAGCTACCGTGGCCAGTTAGCTAATTCTCTCTAAAAATCCGTCTCTCTAGTTACAGAGCGGAAACAAAACAACACTGCAGTATGGAAGGGTGGGATAATATGTAACAACACCAATGTCTCATCGATTCAAATAATTGCTTATCATTGGCATAATTCATCAACATTCAACCATCATTCCTTTGAGGGAAGTCTTAGTTCCCTTTCTTTATTTGTCACTTTCGGTAATGACGAAATTGCCCTTGGCATCAAAAGATATTTGATGTGCTTCATTTTGATGATGCTGAGCCATTGTATTACTCAAAACCAACCATTGCCAATAGTTATTATACCCTGATATTGAGCAGTTCCTAGTTTACGCACCTGTACGCAAGTTTTCTTTATTTCAGGGTATATGATCAGAGATGAGTACGTATGGTATGCAGCATCCAGGTGCTTTGAAGTATTTCTTCGCTGAGGACCTTGGTCTGACGTTACGAAAAGCTCTCATGCGAAGCGTATTTGTATTTTCTATATTTATTAGGCTGAGGGGCTGCATGTATGCATATAGTAATCAGCCCACCAGCGCAGCGGTCAATGCTATTTAATTAACCACGCATTTAATTACGTAACGTTTGTATTTTCTTCATAGTCAAAACCACACGCTGCAGCTCTACAGTGCACATAGCACACTGTTTCTGACTCATCTCAACAACCGTCACTCACAGTTTACAACGAGTAAATGACACATTTACATGGGCCACGCACAAGGAATGTATGGATAGTCTGACGACACCAAACCTCTTCACACCTTGTACGTTACGAGATATTACCCTAGAAAGCAAACATTTAACGGGTATTCACGAAATATAGCTTGAAGGGATGTTTCACTAACGTGAAACCTGATAAGGTGGAGCTGGACACACTCCAACCGTATGATCAGAGCTCAAAACCCACAAACATCTAGTATTCACCCGAGTTTGACGGATCACGCAGGAAAATATACATTTCGTCCGAGGACTGAGCTAATCTCATCTAACACCTGCAGTGAGTCTCAAATCGGGACTATTTCGAATGTTTCAAATCTCAAAGCCAGCTCTCATCTGCAAACTAGCGATCTCGCATTGTGTAGGTACACAACACGAGTACTTGCAGCTCATACTATAACACCAGCTGCTGCACTTTTCTCACGCACAAACACTTTCCTCCAGTCGCTGTAACCCACATGTGGGATCTCAGCATAGCCCATGATCACCTGCGTTCCACTGTTCCATTTACCGCATAGTATCGTAAGAGTTTGGCAACGTTTTGTCTCAGACACGGCAGCTCGATAAGCGGTGCAGTTGCTCTCGTTCTGCCGCGCCACTCTATAGGTGTCCCGTGGAGTGCCCGTGCGGGGGGTGCACGGGAGCACTCCGCTGCACCCCGGTTCACTCCGCTGCACTCTGGTGCACCGATGCACGGATGCACTGTCTTGCAGATGTGTCTAGCGGTAGAGGCCTCACCTCATCCAAGTCAGGTACGAAAGCAGGAGAAGAGGTACTGACCAGCTGGCGTAGGCCCACCGCAAACCTGCGGAGAAGAAACAGTGCGTCTTATTTGGATTGATTTTATATGTTACAGTCTGGCTGGTGGTGTGGTGAAACAAAAGAAGAAAAAACAATAAAAACACCTTACGTGGGTACTGGGTTGAGTCCTTTTTAGCAATAAAACATAAATAATAAGGAAGCCTTTGTGACACCAAATCCCCGTTTTTACAGCATGAGTACTGCGCAATGACCGCTAGGAAGTGGCCACTGCAAAGGTCAGTCGCAATATTTTATACCATAGTCATTATATTCACATTCAACAACGGGCCACAGCCACCTATCAACTGTGCGGGCACCATCAAAAGCCCTCAGAATGATGGGTGGTCATTCACAGGCCCCGCCTCCCTCGGACCCCCTCTCGAGTCTCCGTTTGTCACTCAGTGTCGCCGCTCAGCACCCACTCCCAGTCCACACTGGTCAGTGAGTGGAACACAATGCGCCCCTCTGTGGCCATCGGTTTGCATTTGAGCCAGCAATTAGTCCGGCGTCAGGTAGGCCCGACATGATAAATTGGTCGTTCATAGCAACCTTGATGAGCTACCGAGGAACAACAGTCCAAACAGGCAGGCTGGCCGCGCCCCCACGTCGGCAAGAAATATGGCAATGGCCCACTGAATATCGACCGGGGACGGCCAATTGTTCCTCGCTGGCAGTACTGTGTGATGCCGCAACTATAGTGGAACACACTTGGGACGGTGTTCAATCGACGGGTGTACGGGCAATCACACATAGACACGCAGAGATTTACACAAACGTAGACAGAGACTGTCGCAAATGATGTGAAAAGACTCACACATCTAGGAAAGAAACAGATAGAGATAAATAGATTGATAGATAAAGAGGGAGAGGGGAAGGAGGGAGAGAGAGAGGGGGGAGAGGGAGAGAGAGAGAAAGAGAGAGGGAGAGGGAGAGAGTGAAAGAATGAGAGAGAGAGAAAAAAAATAATAATAAGAGGGTCAAACATATAGATTAGCACACACAAATATACGCAGGTTATGTATAGACACATCCAAACACTGATGCCCGTATTACGAATATTTTATTTTTAATTATGTAAACAATTAGTAAAATAGTCTTCAATTCGTTCTACAAATGCATTACAAACAACAATGTTTCGTTTCATGTTCTTAAAAGTAAAATTACCACAATTTTCCGAAAATTCAGCCAACTCGAGCCTTAAAAGCTTAAGCTCAAGGTCAGGGGCTTAGAGGGCCTTGGTCAGGGGTTTGCGGAACCCGAATGCCTGCCTAATGTGACGTATCGCATATGCAGTAACGACTCGATGCATTAGATGCAGACCGAAATGCCTTTCAGAAATGCATGCATTATTCACGATGCAATGACATCAAAACGTCGGGCATATCCTGCCCCGGAATAAGGAATAGAGCGAAACGCGCTTGAGCATGAGCGACACGTTTCTCCACTAGTGTGCAATGCCCGTCTAAAATGTCAGGTGATGGTTGCAACTCTGAGCCGCCGCGGCAGACATTTCGCGCCGATACGGATCCGCCGTGTCTCAGTGACGGGTAGATTTAGTGTATGCTATGTGATGAGATAGCTGAACGGCATATTTCAGTAACGAGTTCGGTCTAGGCTGATTTATGTAAAAATTGAGCTTAAACATATTTGTGCTCTCAAAGTTCAAGCGTAATACTTCTATAGGAGTGGCGATTTTTAGACTGTATCGGTCTAAAGAGATACTTAAAAAAGGTAATAGGTAGTTCTGTAAGAATGATAGCAAACTGTATCATTTTTTTTAGGCTGTATAGTAAACTGTAGTGCGCGATTGCGGACATTATACTGCACTGGTAGACTGAAAACAGGTGATGTAGTGACCCATAGGCATCACCCGCTGGCGGCGCTCCACCTGCGTGCTCCGCCGAGCCTCCCTCACCTCTCGCGCTGTTGCGCATGTCCGTGCTCTCCAGCACGGCCAGTTTCTGCGCCACGTGCACGCTGGCCGACTCGATGCGGCTCTCCCAGTAGGCGTTGGCCACCGAGGCCGTGCAGTTGACGTTGACCCTGCCGTGGTGAACGTGCTGGCTGAGCACCGGCGTGTCCAGGCCCAGGGTGACCGTCTCCAGGCCGTCGGCGCCGCGCACCGGCGCGTGCTCTACCAGCTGAACAGGGGTCGCCTGGGGGAGGGAGGTCACAGGACTGGTGTCAGAAGTGGTCGCCTCCACTAGCTGCACCAGCTGCAACGGAGTCGGGAGTCGCCTGGGGGAGGGAGGTCACAGGACTGCAGTCAGAAGTGGTCACCTCCACTAGCTGCACCAGCTGCAACGGAGTCGCCTGGGGGAGGTAGGTCACAGGACTGGTGTCAAAAGTGGTGTGGAGAGGATGATGTGCTTACGGAGAATGGCTTGATGACATTTCAGTGTTGAAGTTCTAGTGATAAGGGCAGGCTTAAGTCCTAAAAGGACTTGAAAATCATGAATATGTGGACGTGGTTATACGAGTAGATGTGGTCAAAGATTGTGTGGAATAACAGGCATAATCAAAGAACCATCACAATTTATTTCACATCATGCGATGAATAGACTGTGAATCAGAGAGTGTTTACGCTCAATATCTTGCAGCCCACAACCATTGCACAATCATGGCTGAATAGTGTGCATGTTTTTTTTGTGCAATGAGTTTGCCAATAATACATGAGACGTGTTCTGTGAGATCAAAGGGAGCAAGTCACCTCCGACCATGTCGCTGAGTGCTGAGGGAGTATTTCAGGAGAATAATCTAACCCTCGCCGGCACAGGCCATTTTGAGTCCTTCGACGGCACAAGGGGGGGGGGGGGGTTGGTACGACCCCCCCTTGCGTTTGGCCCCTGATCGATCTAGAGCTTCGCGGAAAAAAACGAGCGTGTTGCCCGTCACGAGAGGAAGCCGATGATACCCAATTTTAACCCGCGCACCGACGGGGGTCTGCGCCAACTTAGTACCGACGGGGGGGGGCGGATGACCGCCCCCCCCTGAGATCTCGAGAACGAAGCAAGATAGCGACAAGCGGTAAACGGCATCGGATACGCACGGTCAAGATCTACAATTTTTACTAAGGTCATTTTCAGGTCAGGTCAAAGATGACGTCACAGGGGTCGAAAAAGTCAAAATGGCGGCGCTAAATATGGAGAGAGTTTTTCTCGAATAACTTTCGAATTAGTCAAGATAGGAACAAACTAAGGGCATTATCGTGATCCTCTCGTCAATCCGCATCGAATGATATATATGTTGACCTCGAAAGGTCAAGGTCAAAGGTTGACCTCAGGTCACGTGACCTCGAGGTCATCATGTATATCATTCGATGCGTCTTGACGAGCTGAACACAATGAGACCATCCACGCGTCTGTATCTTGTTCCTGTACGGAGTTATTGGCCAAAAACCTTTGGTGACCTTTGATGACGTCACATGACCTCACAGCTGCCCAACAGCAAAACAGACCTCAAGGTAGTGAAGGTTGATCGTATATGAAGTCATGTATGGTATATGGGGCCATTCCGACCCGTTTTAGTGGTAAAAACAGGGAGTTGATTTTTCCCCCATTGACTTATAATGGGGAGGTCGCGAAATTGACCTGACCTTAGGTCACCGATATCAAAATTCCGAGATATACAAATTGTAGCTACTAATGACCTAATAACATCCTGCGACTTTCAAAGGCCTCCGACATCTACTGTAGCTCTGGCACGGTGACAAAGTTGCAAAAAAGTGACTTGAGGTTGGGTCATTCAAAGTGACCTGGTGACCTGACCTTGAAAGGTAAGAGGTTCAAACTTGCACACCATGTGTAAAATTGATAAGGGAATAATCATACCAAATTTCGCGGCGCTACGCGCCGCGGTTTTCCCGCTATTCGCGAAAAACCTCAGGGGGGGGCGGATATCCGCCCCCCCCCGTCGGTGCGCGGGTTAAGGTCCTAGGTCATCGGGTGACCTTCCAGGTCAGGTCAATGACCCGAAAACCGGGAAAATCGGGACATGTTAGAAAGTCGTAAAGTGTGGCTGCTGTGTGGTTTTCCGGGGTGCTGATCACGAATATCGTGTTATTTTTGATCAGAGATGATGTCTTTAAGCATTTAGACCAGGTCGGGTCAGGTCAGGTCAGGTCAACCGGTAGGGGTTGTGACGGGTATTCGTAATACGTGTCAACCGCCTCGGACAGCTTCGTAACATGTTACGAAGGCACCAAAACTACTTCGTAAATGTTCAAATGGTTGCTAAATTCGAATTCAGCTCCAAAAACTAGCCTAGAAACATGTAAAACTCGAAAAACTGAACCGAGGTCACCCGAGGTCACCAAAGGTCAATGGCCTGACCTGACCTTCAGGTGACCTTGACACCCACCCTAATGTATGGGAGCAACATCAAATCACATGTTTGAACGTTTGAAACCACGAAAAGCTTGCAAACGCGCGGCTAATGCGAGCCGACATGCGCCGAACCGCGATTTCGGCCAAACATGGTCACAGAAAAGAGGTCACAGGTCAAAGGTCATTGGGGTCAGGGTCATGAAATTTTCAGGCTAGGTGAAAAATTGATCAATGCGAGGGTACTGAAAGTTTCGTCGCGATCGGCCGCTTTTTACGCGAGTTATTCGCGAAAAACCTTAGGGGGGGTGCAACAACCCCCCCCCCCTGTGCCGGCGAGGGTTAATGTTTAATGAGAACCAGCCGTGCCAGAGGCGTTCCATGAGGCATCCTGTAAGCACCCTCTGACAACCAGAGCACGTGCATCTGACAAACTGAAAGCTCATGGTAGGACGCTTTGAAGCCGTACAGGTACGCTGAATAAATTATTTGAAACTGTTATATAACGGCAGCTTATCTCAAAGCCTGTGCACGTCTACTCTGTCTTCCACGCTTAATGCCTTTAAGGTGATGTAGAAAGAAAACCGTTCAATGTGTAGGTAAAAAGCTAAAGTGCTGAGATATATTAGGAAAATATGAGACATATCATGATATCATATTTTTGCTACTGATTAATTTGAGAAGTATTTATGTCAATTTTCCCATCGCATTAGCAATCAAAATCCAACCCAAAATTCACGTTGGTTTTCTGGGCCATAAAATGGCCCTCGGCCTATTCCACCGTTGTCTAGTGTAAGACCTTGTGAAGCTCCGCAACGTCTATAATTTACTCGGACGTCGCGTTAACAATGAGCCTGCTGTGGACCCGGGACTGGGTCATGGTGCCGCCCGCTGGCGTGACGAGCCCCGTCTGCGGCCGACCGGCACCGGGGACCAGCGGGGACCGGGCGTGTCCGTCCGTGTCCCGTCCGCTTTACGACTCCCTAAATCAGAGCACAAACGACTGTCATTTGAGCCGTGAGCCGGCGGCCAGTTGGACCCAAGCACCGGCGTCTCCGGCGCCTCGGCGGCCGCGAGCGCTGCCGTCTCGGCGGCCGCCCCGGTCGGCAGACCACCGGCTGAAGAGCCCTCAGACGGTGTGCCTGTGCGGCCACGAGTGACACTCAGCGCGCCACTCGCGACCAAGTCGCGTCGTAAAAGGGTAGCTCGTCAGCTCGTGAGTGCCGCCGCGTCGTGAGTGGAGGTCACCTCCGCAGCGGTGGAGGCGTTGGAGTCAGTTCGGTTCGGTTCGGTTCGGTTTGGTGTTTGGTGGTTCGGTTCTGTGCGTTCGGGGTGCTGTGGAGACGACCCGAGTCCGACTGAGAGGCCAGTCGGTCGGCCGGGCCGCCAGTTTAGCCAGCTGCGCGCTCCCATGGTGATAATTTGACGCGGCCCGGACGAAGGGTGGCGCTGTTATATTGGGACGGGTGAAATGGAACTGGCGGAGGATGCCCGGGCCGCTCGGCGAGCCTCAGTTAGATTTCGGCCTGCAGTAACGACGACCGCTGTCGTTAGGCCGAGGTCAGCGGCATAGTCTGTTTTGGGAACGGCGAATAGGCGTGACCGCCAGCGGAGCCTGATTGGGCAGACGCTTAGTATGATGAGGAAAGCTTTCTTACATTGGCTAGCACTTATTGTAGAAATCATTATGAATAATAATGTTTCTGCTAGAAAGTGTATCCGCAATCAATCAGCGAAATTATTGGCAGGATTTGTGAGGAATTAATCCACAGAACACGTCAAGTTTTTAATGCGTTGAAGTTTAGAGCTCAATTTCAGGAGGAAACATCAAACGCTATGCATTCAAGCGTTTATAACCAGCCTCATAAATGTCGTGTCTTGTTTACGTAAAAAGCTCAAAACTTTATCACCAACGTATCCGTTCACTCAACGACCAACGTATAGACCAGCCATCTAAACCTGAATTTCGTCAAATGAGTAACAGAAAACTTCCAAGACGCCGCTCTGGAATGAATGCTGTCTAGCGATCGCGAACCGTTTGCCTACCTTTTCTTCATTGATGTACCAGTTGAGGGCCGCAGCGGGTTTGGATCCGGCCAGCGTGCAGTTCAGGCGCAGTCGTTCGCCGACCTGGTAGCTATTCTGAAGACCGTGTATCTGCGGACCTTGGCGTGGCTGCACTGTAAACGACAGGATCTTTATGTCAGAGCTCGCGTGCAAAGGTTTAGTTTACGGCGTTTCGGAGTACGCCGCGGAAACTGTCCGCCGTGGCTAATTGGAACATACTTAGGTACCCTGTCGACCGTCAAACTGACAGAAATATCGCTAATGACGCACATCAACTGGCTTTATGTTTATTGACATTGATTTGCTAACGAGCGACATAAATTCTGAGCGCATTGGATCGATTGTCAGACTATTTCTGCAAACATTTCTAGACACGCTACCGATCAACGTCTTCCAATTTCTGTGTTCCCGTAGGTGTTCGACACTGAAACGGAAAGCGATTCCGGCTTTCTTCCTCCTGAAGTGAGCCTCTCGTTCCGGAGGCTTTGTCGGCCGCCCGCCGGCGGCCGACGTTCCGGGCCGATCGCTCAGGGCCGCACCGTCTAATGGGGTTAGGCCGTGAAATCGGTCACGGGCCGGTACCACGTGCGAGATAATCTTGGCGGCGCACCCGGCCTCAGCGGCCAGCAGGCCACACAGGACCACAATTTCGGTTCTCCAGAGGGACAGTGCTGGGGAAGACCGAAGTGCAGCTAGTGAATAGATTCGTAGATGAGCTGGGGCCTGGGAGGCTGCACTCGAAGGCCGATTTGCTACTGAACTTCTGTTTCGGGAAACCCAAGTACAATGGAAGGGTAAATGAAATACTTCGGATTTTATGCAACCCATGCCGTTGAGTGCATCTCAAATTAAATATGTGACACATATACGTAAGATAAGCAAGGTGATGTTGACATATATAGTACCTTAACGCATGGTAATCCCAAAAGCATGTATGTACTGTACTGCTGGTGAACTCTAAGATCAGATCGAAGTGACGCTATCTTTGTTTTCGTTAAAATTACTGCCGAACAGATGCAAATGCAGCCTTTGATGCCTGGTAGACACGGAGGCACAGATTGATATACTACCATGTGGGATTGTCCGCGTCCCATTCCTTTCACTAATCAATCATGCAGTCCTCATGTCCTCTAAATTCCTCGAATCCAAGTTCATGGGGCCGTATCGTACTCCCTGTTCCTATTCCGCGTACTGGGTCAGTGGCGGTGCGGCGGCCGCGCTCGTTTCGATGTGACCGACACAGTCCAAAGGTCAGCGCCCCCTGCCCCCCCCCCCTCCCCCCGCGCCTGTGTCGATGTCGAGTGGTGTTGCAGCTGCCGCCGGACTTCACATTGGCAGCGTCGGGGACGCTCTCTCTCGGAGCGGACGCCAAGTCGTCTGGGAGGACGGACGACTCTCCGGCGGAGGCACGACCCCCCAGTGACAGCCGGTCGGATTAAAGAGTAAGGCGACACGAGCGGCCGACGGGTCAGCGAGCGATGCATGTCGTAGCCAGCGCGCACGACGACCCCGCTCTCCTACCAGATACATAATGCAGGCTCGGCCCGCCGACTTGGATTCATTATTTAACTGAAAATGTGAACGGGCACTTTGCGAACGCCGGTCAGGGATGCGAGTTAGGAAAGACGTACTTCCGACGAAGACTTTTCGTTCTCTGGTTTCACTCTAGAAGCGACATTTGCGTTGGTTTTTCGCCTGTATAACTAAGGCGAACTTGTCTCCATTTGAGGCCCAGAAGTCAAACTAAACGGCTCCAGCTCAGGTCGATGTAGCTCTGAGTTGGACTTTGATGTTCGCATAAGCGGTGACCAAACAGGCTGGCGGCTTTTGTTGGGGCTGTTGGTCGGGCTCGGTGTGTGTACAGCTCCTGTTGTAGGCCGTCTGATAACGACCGGTGCCATGTTGGTAGTGATGCGCGTCAGTCACGGTGGGCAGGCTGCTGGTATAAATGTATAGACGCATCCGTAAGCAGCGCTGTTTAGAACACTGTCTTGTCAGGGCTATATTTATGTTTGGTACCGCAGCCTACACCCTAAAGACGGTTGTGCACTTGATGAAGGGCAATCTTTTTATGTTGTTTCGATTACCACATATGGGTGAATGTGGCGCAAGTACAGCATTACGCTGACAAACGGCCAATTGTGTATGCATTGTGTTGTTACGATGCATGGAGATCGGGGATGTCAGACGACGTACCGCCGAGTGCCTCCATATTGTCACATAAAGTAGAATGGCACTGTGCCACATCTCAGTAATAAACATGTTACGAGCCGCGGATATATCAGCTACCGCCAGCGCGGTGCGTAGTTAAGTCCAATAATGCCTCTTCTAAGCCGAGTTTAAACCATTTAATTAAGCGCAGGACTGCTGTTAGGGCTTTGACGAGTTGCATCGGCTAAGCTGAAATGCAAGGTGTGTCATTTGCGTGATTTTTCGAAGCCGAAATAATAATAATGCCATTTATTTTGCCATTTATTTCACACCATCATTGGTGCATACAGGAAGTTCCAGTGACAGCTAACACAATCATTACATCCATACATACACAAACACACACACACACACATCAAGATATTCATATTCAGAACGTTAAAATCAGTGCAAGCACGCACATCGATCAAGAGGAAGCTCGTCTCAGCTTCATACATTGTCTGTAATGACACTTCTCACATGAGCATGATATGTCGGATTTTGATTGACCATTCTTTTCAGACTACCTAAGAAAATATTCAAAATGTCTGCACGAGAGGAGGAAGACAAGTCTAAGGCCATGATATCATATTCACGTCGGATGGCAAGATGCACGCTCGCTGCTATACCATTTTGTCCAATGTCACTGTCAAGCAAGCTCTTTATCAACACATTTTCACTACTGTGGAGTATTTTATAGAACAGAAGCTGTCTGCTTGCTACTAGCATAGGACAGGGGAGAATTTGAAGAGCTAGACAGAGAGGATGGTTCCTGAATGATTTCGGTAGTTTGACTATTTTCTTCACACATGAGTGATACGCCACACACAGTTCACGAAACACATTTTTTTCTTTACATGGATCCCACAGCTCACACCCATACAGGTTCGCGCAGTAGGACTTAAACAGCTTTATCAGAATTTCTCTTTTAGCATGGCCTACCAACGCGCAAAGCATATTAGCACGATAGTATAGCGATCTCTTCAGCTTACGCATGTCGCTGCTATCATTCAGTTTGCTGTTAATCACATGCCCAAGATACTTAAACTCATCAACCCATGTTAGGTTGGTACCTGACAACCTCACAATTGGGGGTTGTGACATGGACAGATGCGAAGATGCACTTGGACGCTGGGGATTAAACACCATGCATACACTCTTCTTAGCATTGAATTGTATGTCCCTGGACACAGCAAACGATTCACATATTTTGACAAGCTCTTGTAAACCACCCCTTGATGGCGACAAGACAACAATATCGTCAGCATACGCCAGTACATTTACAGCACAGCCACCAACGTGACATCCTATGCCAGTAGATTGTAACATTTGAAGGAGATCGTCCAGGTATACATTGAACAATAATGGTGACAAGCATCCACCCTGGCGAACACCGTTTGCGACCGGAAATGAATAGGATGTGCTATTTGCCCATTTGACGCTCATCATCTGGGACCTGTACCAATGAGTTAACAGTTTCAGATATGGTAACGGAACACCCCTTTCTTGGAGTATTTGAAAGAGCTTAGCGTGATTCACTCTATCGAATGCTTTGCTTGCATCAAGGAAGCAGGCGTACACTGGGCTTCCTTGTCTAGTGTAATAGTGAACTGTTTCTTTAAGAACATATGTAGCATGCGTTGTTGAATGATTAGACTTAAATCCAAATTGCGCATCATTTGTTCTTAATAGCGGTAGAAGCCTGTCAACCAGAATAAGTTCCAAGACTTTTGATAAAGTTGTGGATAAAGCGATTGCCCTATAGTTCGATTTATCATCAAGTGCACCACTTTTATCCTTAATTAATGGCGTCAACAGTGAATAAATGAGATCATCAGGGACGTTTCCATGGTTCAGTATGCTGTTAAATATGGAGACTATGACATATAAGTTATCAGCTTCAAGATAACGCAGATGTTCACTGTACATCTGATCCCAGCCTGCAGCTTTTCCACCTTTCATTTTGGCTATAGCACTCGACACTTCCTCCCTGGTAATGGGGAGAACATCAGGCAGCCGATCATTGATGATATGGTTGATAATTGCTTGACCACTGCTGCAGCTATCGTCATTTAGAACAGTTTTGAAATGATCGGCCCACATATTCGCTACGTTCGCAGCTCCTGTGACACCCCCAAAGCTAGGTGGAAAGGAACTTTGACCACCAAGCAGCTGTCTCACGTGTGCCCAGAATTGATTATGCTCTCTGTTCAACAAAGACAAAGCAAGCTTATTTACATTGAAGATATCTCTTTCTCTCCTACATCTCCGCAAAGCATATTTGAAAGCCAGCCTTGATTCCCTCATTTGAGCTGACAGAGGACCGTCTCTGGGAGAGCCAGCAGACCTCCAACGAAAAAAAGAATTACGAGCTGTATTGTGCTTGATTTTCACAGTCTCATTCCATTTTGGAAAAGGCCTGACGTGCTTTTGGTGAACTTGCTTAGAACCAAAGCATTGCTGGCCGCTCAAAATGACAGCTTCAGTGAACGCCTTGCAGCAATGGGATAGTTTATGAATATGGGAATCATCCCTACAATCCCCAACGCAAGTGCCAGTGAGATCATCAACTTCAGCACAGAACGTTCTCAACTTTAGACGTACTGACTGATTATAAAGTTGAACTTGTTCTACATTTACAGATCTCCAACAAATTTTTCGATAGGAGGGAACCTCTGGGGCCAAAGTGACAAGCTCAACGCTCTGAAAGTTAAATTCAACCACCAGAGGCATATGATCTGTGAAACAAACGTCATACTTCACCAATATGTTGTGGACATTATCATGCAGGCTGGGACTACAAATGCAATGATCGATCCAGGATACAGTTCCATGGGCAGCACTGACATAGGTGAATGTATTCGCCGATAAACCCAAATTTTTAACGTCAGAAACGACAAGTTCATTTTCCTCACAAAACTCAATCAATTCACCAAAAAAACGAGAGCCATAACTGTTGGCATTGAAATCACCTATGATACCAATGTGACTTGTTCTGGAGCGCGCAACATCAATATTGTAAGCTAACTGTCCCAATGACATGCAAAACTGGTCATGACTTTCTGAGTCTCTGTAATCAGTTGGTAAATACACATTGAAAAGACATACGGCGCCAATGGTTGTGGCAATATTAATCTCCATGATGCGATCATTTATCACCTTAACCCGTATACTAGATTGCAATGACTTTTTCCATAAGATTGCCACCCCACCAAACGGTCTGCCAGCTAAGAGAGCAGTAGATGAGTCAATAGCAGAAACACCCATACCAAGAAAATCTTGGTGAATGTTGTTCAACATGAAAAGTTCAAATTTAGACAGCCACGTCTCTTGTAAGAAAACTAAATCATTCATAGAACAAAGTTCAGCTACATCGGAAAGGGAATTTTTCAATGAGTTACAATTGAAGGAGCAGGCTTTGATCATGTAGTAGTCCTAAGAACTGCAGTATGTACCTTCATCGGCCACATGCCACCATGTTGCCCACGCTCGTGCTGCGGGACAGAGGACTCAAGTTGGTACGTTTCCTAGACAAACCGCTCATATTTCTGTTCCCCTGTGTTCCCCTCGGCTGAAAGAATCGCTTGACAGAAACGTGTTTGGGCCACTTCTCGGAGAGAAGCACTAACCTGGCTGTGTCAGCAGGGACGGACACCTTATACCCTCTGTAACCGTAGGCTGCAGCACAGTGGGGAATCTCTTCCACTGCTGCCTTCCCAGCTCCCTGTAGAATCCAATTGACGTGCGTTTCAACGGCGTCACTGGTCGTGGAAGAATCCAGGCGCCCCACAAAAAGGTCCAGCGTCTTTGGAGGAGGCGCGACACCTCTTAGCAGGGTGGAAGAGCCGGTTCCTTTCACCTCCATCTTCTGACGGCTGCTCTTTCTCCTTGTCACTGTCACTGTAGTGAATCCCTCGTCGTCAGTAGTATGGTTCTGCGGCCGCTGCTGTTCCTGTTGCGCAGGTGCCGTGCGCAGCGGCAACGGCACTGACTCTGAAGGCAACAGCTGGTTTGACGGCTGGTGCAGTGGCTGACTCGGGTGCTGCTGTCTCGATTTCATCTGTGGTAGAGCCTTCTGTTGTTGCTCACTTCCCTGCCTCTGATGATATTCGGTTCCAGAGGATGGTATATCCAATTGCTTCGGCACAGTGGCTGCAACTGCGGCCCATGTGCTTGAAGAGTCGGACTTTGACTGGACTTGACTGGATTTTGAGACTTCATCTTGAATGGTTTGTAACGCAGATTTCATTTCCTTCATGTCAGTCTGCATCTGGCTGAATTGACTAAGTAGAACTGTGACATCAAGGTTCTCTGGTGTTGAGTGAGGGATATTTCTCAGATCAATGGCATAAAACTTGGGCAAAGCCGTGCCCTCTCTGTCACAAACTTGCACTGCCTTGATGATGTCTTCACAGTCTGCCCTTGCTTTCGAGCTAGTACCTGAATTCTTCCGTTTGATGTTACGCAGGTCCCTGCGCTCTCCGTGGTGTACATTGATGACCGAATCCCACAGAAGGTCTTTCGCCTCTTGGATCTTATCAGCATCATAGAAGTCAACACATGCCTTTACTATCAGATCAAAAGGCATGATATCGAGCTTATTCATCACAAAACAAAGAAATTCATTGTGAATGAATCACAATTACGAAATGTTCCGTAAGAGTATTTAAACGCCGGGTGCAACATAAACTTTATTTCGTCAAAAATGTAAAATGGTGGCGATCAAGACAGAGAGATGACGATCAGCTGATGGGGGTCTAGGATCGGCATTGTTAGCTTAAAACATATCTCTGTGAGTAATTGTGTAAGTGCGTTTAACTCTGACTAATCCCTCTTGATTTAGGCACGATATTGGTGTCATTCCTAACGATGAAAATAAATCACACTTAGAGAAGACTGATGATTCAATTTAAGAACGACGCTCAATCAGGCTGACATAAGTGCGATAAAAACACAATTCTGGTCCAATGAGTTACGTCTGAATAGGTCTGATGGCCACTTCTTCTTGTGAAATTGACAGGCCCCACTAATCAGTATGCACACAAAAGTGCAGGTGCTAGATAGCCTGTGTCTGGTCTGATTCAATTGGAAAACCTGGATATCTCGATTTGGGGACTAATATCAAATCTCTTCCTCGGAGACACTTCCAATTCTGCCGCGTCCCTTGAGATCTATTTACGATGTCCGCTAGACAGACTGATACTAATGCCACCTCGTAAAGAGTTGAGCCAGAGCAGCAATGAATGCTGATGAGCCAGGACCTCAGTCGGCTGCCGGCCGTTTCTTCCCATCCAGTGTCGGTCAATGGCATGGACATACGCTTACCCCAGGGATGCTGCCTCGGAAAAGACGGCCACTTAATTAAAAATCTTTGGCAAAACGTGACCAAAGCAATTATCTTTTGAAGCCTTTAATTAAACGAGATTGAAGACTCTGATCCTGTCTAGCCAGAGCTCGAACTTCTATAAATCGATGGCGTGGCACATTTGTGTCCTCAGTCGCTTGTGATAGGCCTCTTCCGGGGGGCTAGGACCAAAATGACGGTAAATGGCAGCGGTCATCAACATGACGAACGGAGGAATAGTGACATATTCGGACCATAATGCAGAAATAAACCTGCCAGCTTCACCTTGGACAAGTCGAAATCCATTGTGGCCATTGTAACTTACGAACAAAGCCAATTTCAGTTGACGAATGACCACGGAAATCTCACATAGACACGCGACGCATACACATGCTTTATGGCTGATGGCTCCTCCAATTAAACTCCGCCGACTCGTCTGGGAGCAGTGAGCACTCACCGACGACAATCATGTCCCCAAAGTCGTAGAACGTGTCGAAAGAGGGCGCCTCCAGTGAGACCTCGCAGCGGAACTGGCCAGAAGTGGAGAGGTAGACGGATCGGAGCCGCACAGTCCGGGCGTCTGAGGCCGCCAACTGCAGCAGAGGACAGACACACGTCACAGGTCAGCTGCTGACCACTCTGTTTCGCGTCATTCGCGAACGGACCAATAAGGCGATGTCGATAAGCTGTCAGGGCGTCCTTCAGAACATGTGTTGGGTGATTGAAAACCGGCCGGTCAGAAGGTTTTCAGGTTTTCGTAAAGTTGGCATTCACTTGGGCACAAAAAGCACACACACGCGCAATAATTCAGCTAGGTGCCACTAAATGCATTCCGTGATCAACGTTAGACAGTTTTGACCAAGTTCTGAATGCAGAGGATTAAAAACTATTTTGTAGAACGAAGATAGCAATTTCCAGGAGTCATCTAACTTCGTTTGTGAGGATGCTTGACAGTCAAAAACTTCCGTGATGAGACTCCAGCAAAAATGACAGAAAGCTGTCTTGCTAAATGTGAGAAAAGCATAGGGTACAGTACACAGGGTAACTAAATTATTAGGTGATGTTATTTCTTCCGAACAAATATATCATGAGCAAATACAAATAGAGCAAGTACGGCAAGCCTGTAATGCCACTGGAACTGATGCAATGCTTCTAAGTAATGTCATTCAATTTACCAAAATTGCTCAACCATATTTCAACTGGTATGCTGTTTGTTGACAAAGCTTAATTGAATTTCATGTGTAACAATGGGGTGGGTGGGAGTATTTATCCAATAATTACAATTCATTTATGTACACACATTCGAAACTCGTCATAAGAATACCATAGAAGATTTACATTTTTGAGAGACAGACGTGGTTTGTGCTTGAAGGCTCATTCTTTCCCATTTTCGGATAAGTAAGGGTGAAATAATTAGGAAAAACTGCACTCCTAAAATCGTATATTTTTCCAACATCCATGTGGACGGAAGCTGCAGCTGTGAGTAGCTGCAAAAGATACCATTACCCAGCACATCCGCTGTCTTATTGCCATTCTATTTCGCTGCCCCAGAGCTCAATAGTGCGACGCTGATTGCAGTGATTCCCGCGAGAGAGTACCGCATGCGGGGAACGTAATCCGTGAGAGATATTCATGCAACTGGAGTGTTGACTCCGTTACCCGTTTATTGCCACCTGATCTACATACTGATGAGCTGACGGACCGGCGACAGGTCATCCTGATCCCGGAAACGTGAGCTAAACAGTTGGTCATAATGTCGGCACAGGTGTTAGATGCATCATGGAGAGTATAGGTCTCGAACTCAGTGAAAATCTAGCATTCGTTTTAGTTGAAAATATGATTGCTTCTTTAACAATGCTATTGAAGGATGTGTAGCAGGGCTTATTATGAATAATCAAAAGTATATCCTTGACAGAGCAATAATAATTAGGAAGGTACTTGACGCAGTGCTTTGAAGGCCGGCCGACGAGCGTCTGGTCTGATGTTTCACCTGAGCGCTCATAGATGGCAGCACTGTACAGCGCCTGTAATGGTATGCTGTGCCGCAATGTTTCTGCGGCCGGGGACTGGAAGGGATGTGGGGCGGGACTGATAAGGCACATTTTACGGTCAGTTTTGTGAGGGCAATTCATGCACACTTAGCTGAGATGAGAAACTCTAGCTTGTAATTTAATTTTTACTCGCTATCATTAGTGGCTTAATGAGATAAGAACGAATTACAGCACCGTTTGCGTTATTTTATTCGCGCGAAGATAAGAGCCGGCATGGCTCAGTGGTGTTCTTGGATCTTCTCTTGTGAATGAATTGCTGCATTAGGCAATGGGATGGTGTTAACCCGCGCACCGACGGGGGTCTGCGCCAACTTAGTACCGACGGGGGGGGGGGCGGATGACCGCCCCCCCTGAGATCTCGAGAACGAAGCAAGATAGCGACAAGCGGTAAACGGCATCAGATACGCACGGTCAAGATCTACAATTTTTACTAAGGTCATTTTCAGGTCAGGTCAAAGATGACGTCACAGGGGTCGAAAAAGTCAAAATGGCGGCGCTAAATATGGAGAGAGTTTTTCTCGAATAACTTTCGAATTAGTCAAGATAGGAACAAACTAAGGGCATCATCGTGATCCTCTCGTCAATCCGCATCGAATGATATATATGTTGACCTCGAAAGGTCAAGGTCAAAGGTTGACCTCAGGTCACGTGACCTCGAGGTCATCATGTATATCATTCGATGCGTCTTGACGAGCTGAACACAATGAGACCATCCACGCGTCTGTATCTTGCTCCTGTACGGAGTTATTGGCCAACAACCTTTGGTGACCTTTGATGACGTCACATGACCTCACAGCTGCCCAACAGCAAAACAGACCTCAAGGTAGTGAAGGTTGATCGTATATGAAGTCATGTATGGTATATGGGGCCATTCCGACCCGTTTTAGTGGTAAAAACAGGGAGTTGATTTTTCCCCCATTGACTTATAATGGGGAGGTCGCGAAATTGACCTGACCTTAGGTCACCGATATCAAAATTCCGAGATATACAAATTGTAGCTACTAATGACCTTATAACATCCTGCGACTTTCAAAGGCCTCCGACATCTACTGTAGCTCTGGCACGGTGACAAAGTTGCAAAAAAGTGACTTGAGGTTGGGTCATTCAAAGTGACCTGGTGACCTGACCTTGAAAGGTAGGAGGTTCAAACTTGCACACCATGTGTAAAATTGATAAGGGAATAGTCATACCAAATTTCGCGGCGCTACGCGCCGCGGTTTTCCCGCTATTCGCGAAAAACCTCAGGGGGGGGGGGCGGATATCCGCCCCCCCCCGTCGGTGCGCGGGTTAAGCCTGAGTTAGGAATGACAGAACGACAAAAATATTCTGACTCTCGCGGCAATGAAGAGCGGGAAAAATGTTGCTGGACAACTGTGTGAGAGCCATCTCTGCCCAGAAAATGAAAGGTGGATTGCAAAAAAATGTAAGAGAATGAAGGGGAAGGGAGAGGGGAAAATTAAACGATGCTGAGGATATAGCGAAACAGAGCATAGGAAAAGAAGTATGCATAGATAGATAGATATGGATGAATAGAGGGAGCAATGGGCAATGGAAATAAATAAAAAATACAGAAAAAAATATGAAACGGGCATAGAGTTGACCTTCATATATTTTTGACAGTAAAATATACAAAGCAGGAGGAAATAGCTGAATATTGTAATACCTACACTGGACTCAAGATTAGAGAGTAGTATACAAATGCATGTTTCCTTGCAGCTATATCACACAAAGTAAAAAACGGCACTCAACGGCACTTCAAGCTGAACTGTTCGTCGTAAAATAGCATTTGTTCCTCTAAAGCTGTAAAGTTATTTCTCCCTGCCTTCATTTAAGCACAATAAAATGTTTATTCTATTCCCCTTTGATTGCCGGTGATTTTATACAACTCAGTGATATTCGGGGTATGCAGGATGCACACTCATCAGTCCCAAAACTAATGCTCCGTCCAATATCACAGTACAACTAGTCGCATGAGGCATAAATCACGACAGCGGTGTCGCTATCTCCCGAGAAATCCTGTTCATCGTTTTCCATCAGCGCGACACGGCAGCGTCGCCGAAATGTCGCCCTGCCAGACACCGAAGCAGCCACCTGCAATGTGTATCAATTTGCACAATTACGTTATGTCACGCTGCGATCGGGCTTAGTCGCGTCTTGGTTATCTGTGACAGGGCCTGAGCAGCTATTGCTTCTATTCTTGCAGGGTCTTCGTTGTGTTCCGGGTCCATGTCCGGACCTTATCATTTACGTTCACGTTGTAGCAGATGCACCGTCTGGTTAGCTAACGAACGGCGCTATGGATGGATAAGAAAAATGTTGTGAATCGGTAAGAAGCGAAACGCAGATAGCAACCGGTGGATAAAGAGCAATGGACTGTGTATGGTGGACTGTTATTGGTGAACATTGGACTGTGGAGGGTGAACCATGAACAATGGATAGTGTGGGCAGCAGACGGTGGCAAAAAGATGGACGGCAGATGAACGGTGAACAATGGACGACGGACAGCGAACAGCGGACGGCAGACCCAAACGACAGGCAGACTGGATCTGACGTAGGAGTCCGATGATGGACAACATCCAGAGCTCGGCGGCCCTTCGGGTACGCCCTGGGGCGGTGTGGGCTCCACTCTGCCCCCCGGGCCGGGCGGCAGACGTGACCCGAGTGCAGTGGGACCGGTGCCGGCCCCGGCCTCCATCTACTGACCCTGCCCGGCTCCGGAGGGACCCCAGACGGCCGGCTGCTCACCTCCAGAGTGATGCGGCCAATTTGTTATCTCAGGTCGCGGGCTGGGGCTGGGATAAGGGTGAGCGGTGTCCTTGAGTGTATGTGTGTGATGTTACAATCTGATGCATATAATGTGGTGCTCTTCAATACTTAGTTTTAGTATAAAAAGAGAACGGCATATTTCAAAGAGTTCAAACATGAAAAAACAGTGTAACGTCTCAGATGAGTTCAACTACATCTGAATATTCATAATGTTTTTTCATTGTGCAATGTGCAACGAACAGTTGTCACTCGTTCAGAAGCTCTGCTGTCTTCTTTTGTCCTCTATAAAGTGCAATCAAATGAGTAACATGGGTCAAACATTTCTTTGTCAGCACACTGACTTGCTTCTCATCCTTTTCCTCTCATCTCGACTCTTTCTCACTCTCTCCTCTCTGTCTGTCTGTCTGTCTGTCTGTCTGTCTGTCTGTCTGTCTGTCTCTGTCTCTGTCTCTGTCTCTGTCTCTGTCTCTGTCTCTGTCTGTCTGTCTGTCTGTCTGTCTCTCTCTCTCTCTCTCTCTCTCTCTCTCTCTCTCTCTCTCTCTCTCTCTCTCTCTCTCTCTCTCTCTCTCTCTCTCTCTCTCTCTCTCTCTCTCTCCCTCTTTCGCCTGCCATTTTCCGACATTTCCTCGCTCAGGTGTCTCAGTGTTTTCCGTTTTTCTCCTCGTCTTCGCTCTCCTTTTCCCTCTTAGTCACGTTCCTGGCGGTTAGCAGCTGCTTCCAACATCCCACTGCCTCCCACTCTCCTCCCACTCTCTTCCCACTGCCCTCCCACCACCCTCCCGTCGCTGCTGCTCACATAGCCTCCTTGTGGTCCCCAGTGTCTCATCGGCAGGCCATGCATCATAGCGGGACGTCGCCACGAGTCCTGCGCGGTCGACCGAGACTAGAACGACGACCTGCGGTGGCGGTGGTGACCGGCTAAGACCACCTCCTCTCCGTCCCGCCGCCATGTCAGGATCAATGTGCCGGAGCCGTGCGTTCGATCGCCGGTCCAGAAGTCACCTGTCATCCGGGCTGGACGGGCTTTCGTTCGGCTCGGGTTCGGACTCGTTCCGACGTGGTGCATGTAGCTGTGTGTGCTTGTTTTTTCAACGACAGATGATTGTTGTTATAATTTAGTACTGTATTGCTGGGTTTAACGTAGCTAAATATCCTTACATTATATTTAAAAACATAAAATATAAGTTTTTACGTTGATGCAGTTTGAAACACTTCAGGTAACTAAAAGTAAGCAATGTCAATAATAATTGACCAGACCGTCCTAATGTCCCACAGATAGATTACCTAGTGAGAAACTCGACTTGACTGTAGCTTTAGACTGATCTGCAATAGCCTACTCTTTGTCGGTCATGTTTAGTAAGAAAAAAGGCGAGAAAAGTCTGGCTTTAAACACCAAACAGGGTTCATCCTTCTCACACACTTTTTCTTCTTCTTCTTCATTTTCTCTCTCTCCCCCACTCTCTCTCTCTCTCTCTCTCTCTCTCTCTCTCTCTCTCTCTCTCTCTCTCTCTCTCTCTCTCTCTCTCTCTCTCTCTCTCTATCTCCTTTCTCTCTAATCCCTTTTCCCTTTCTCTCTAATCTCCCTAGCCCTTTCTCAGCCCCTCCAACACCATAACACTTACATCGACGTCGATGCCGGGTACGTTGAAGGTCTGTTTCTTTTGTCGGGTGCCGGGCATGTAGTGATAGAACTCCTCCCCCTCCTTGTACCACTGTACTGAGTACAGCTGGTCGCTGGGCCGCAGCTGATAGTCGCACGTGATGTTGATGGCTTCACCCTGCTGGGCCAGCGGAGGGAGCCGCAGACGCACGTGAAGACTGTCCTTCTTCTGACTAGCCGCCGGCGCCGCTGTAGACAGAGGGAATACAATTCAGCTGTTGGATGGTTTGGTTAAACCCTGTGTTCGGTTCGAATAAGAAGGTGCAGACTCTGACAACTCGATGGACAACCTGTTTGGTGCGCGAGTTTGCAGTCTGTTTACAAAACGCTGTCCGTTGAGATATGATACGCACCACGCATATGTAACCAAAACGGTCTCGGTTTGTGGGAGCCAAACGCGTCGGAGTGTGCGCTCGTGTGGAAGTCAGCCAGCCGGCAGCTGGACGGGAAGGCACTTGGCTGACTCACACAGAGGGGGCCCGAAATGAATGCAAAAGCACGAAGCGACCCCTGCCGGCCCCTCCCCCTGCCCTTAACGGGCTCTCGCCACCGCGCGGAATTGATGCAGAGAGCAGCTCAATGGGAGAGTTTGATGGGAGCACGGGCGACTTGGACCATCAAACGCACAGCCAGGCAGCAGAGAGCTGCAAACTCCCGGCTTTGATGTAAATTCAGAGGGACATAGAGTAAATAAAGACTCACATTTAGCCAGAATCAAAGAAACAGAGCTACTAAGAATGCGATTGCTTCGATTCTGATCCAAGATGGTCAATCGAATACCCTCGGATACAATTTGTAATGCAAATGACATTGGCAGTTCTTCCTAGCTCCCCGTGTAGCTCAGAATTTATACAGCGTGTGTTCAACCAGGCATCGATTACTTCCGAAACATTGTGCTCCACTGTGCGTCCCCATTCACATCCTCAGATTGATATTCGTCTGTGCGACACATTAGTCGTCATCGCAGGCGATTTCACCGTAATCATATCCAGCGCTGAGCGCAATCCCCGCCGAAAACTATATTGGCACCCCGGGTCCCCGTTCACCCTCTGTTCCCGTTCTTTCTCCCCTCCCCAGCTCGTTGCCATGGTGACACGTGGCCTTCTTTGACAGCTGTCGTTCCCAGGCGGCGCGTGCGCTCTCCTCTCTGAATAAATGCAAATTAATCCGACACGGAAGGGTGACTCTCAGGGGCGGCGACTTTGGTCGGCGCCCCTCCGGCTCCGGCACTCCCCCGGGCGCCCTTCCGGAGCCGGACTGGATTCGGCGAGGCTCCCGCTCCCCCGCCGGCTCCCCGTCGAGAGGCGATGAAGCTGGGGACGATGCGTCATCAGCTGATGTGATGAGTTTCGACGGGACGGAGACGGGACGGAGACGGGACGGAGACGGGACGGAGACGGGATGGAGACGGGACGGAGACGGGACGGAGACGGGATGGAAACGGGACAGAGACGGGACGGAGACGGGACGGAGACGGAAGCGGTGTCTCAGTGCAACTTCAGTGCACGTCATATGTATTCTAGCGTAATGAACATACATGTTGAAACTAAGATAGGCGGAACAATATCCGCTCCAAAATCCGTTCCTACAATATGAGACAGAGGTCTTTGCGACGGGCCACGGGTGTCTCTGCAGCGGGGCGCTGCGGGTCGGAGTGGGGTCGGGACGGGGTATATCTGGGATAACCGAGTTGTGATCAGCCGTGGACCCTCCCTTCACCCCCATCCCCAGCCCCACTCATCATCAGAGCGGGCCCGGGACGGCGGGCACGGTCTGGCGACAAATTGGTTACCGCGATCCGGACAGCGGCTAACAACGCGACAAGGGCGCGGTGACGAGGCTGGGACGCGGTGAGCACGATGCCGAGCAGGACGGACAAACGGCGGCGACTACAGGGAACACCAGATGGATGGGAAGCACGGACGGGGGGAGGGGTAGAGGAAAGAAGGATAGGGGATGGGAGGAGGTGGGAGGAGAAGAGAAGAAGGGAGAAGAGGAATTTTTTTAGAAAGAATGCAAGAATAGAAACAGAAAGAGATAAGCAGAGGGGAAGAAGCAAGGAGAGGGGCCAGGAGAGAAGGAGGAGAAGGAGAATGCGGATAAGAGAGAAGAATAAGATGGACAGTAATGGAACATAATAGTTTTTTTTTGGATTGAAGGAAGATGTACTGTAAAAAGAGCTTAAACTGCCTCTCAGTTACACATAAAAAACATGATTACAGGAGCATTGTCAACACGGAAATTCGTTTAAAACAAGTGCCGGTAGACAATTGTAGAAGTTTCTCAATTTTCTACAGTTGCCTCAGACATTCGTGTATTTCAGAAATGTCTTCAGGTCGAATGCAAACAAGCAGGTGATGTCTTGATTTGTGGAGCCGGCACAACTTTGGCACTCTGTTATTGGGATCGGCTTTATCTGCTGCGACTGAAAAACAGCGGAAAATATCAGCAACGTCGAAATGAATAACGAAACCGACGGGAGGAAGCACTTGAAATGGGCAGACAAATTCAATATGTCCTGGAGCATTAAGTTTTCAGCACACTGCGACGTTGGTATCAATTTTCTCATTGGCATAATCGCATATATTTAGGCATTGATAAAGCGAACGCATAGGTTCAACTTTTTTATTTTGTATTCTGATATTCACATTCCCACATACAACAAACTACTAAATTAGTGAATGCATTATTGCACATAAAGACATCAGCGACTATAAATGTGCAATAATGTGTACCTGTATAAATGTTATAGGTAAATGTGTACATGTAAAATGACAGCGCCGTGGCTTCATGTCGCTTTTCCTTGAACTTATTTTCCTTCCAATCTTGTACACTGTAAACCAAATTGACAAGTCTTGTGTAATATAACCAATCATCTCTTGGTATGTTTACCAACTGATACTTTCAAACAAGCCGTTGTCTGGTGCATTGCTTGTCAGATGACAACTACGAGTCAATAGTTACTATGCACACCAACTTCTCAGTATCCAGACCAACTCTAGGGGAAGGAGGGTGAATTGCGCCACCTTAAGGAAAAACGCTAATTGTAAGAAAACCGCTGGAGATATAAGCATGCACTGGTAACCACTTCAAAGAGGAACTCATTAGCTACGATTTAAGAGCCTCCCGATCAATTAAGAATGTTTCGTTTGCTTCCGACAGCTGCTTTTTCAGAAACATGCAAAAGGGCGCATTTACCGACAACTGCTGTAAATTGCGCCAGGGGGATGGCGCAATTAGAATCCAATTGCGCCCTATACTTAAACATGGCTAAGCGAATGAGATGGAATGCATACACCCCGGCAGTGTAATGTCATTGCGGCTTATTAAACATTTATAATGTTAATCAGGCTGGATGAATGAATAATAAATGTAGATATAAATCGCGATGTTTTTTTGCCCAGGTAAATAACTTTACATGTGTCCGTATGTTTGTAAAAGTGCAACGAAAACGTTTTATGTAACCGACTAGATATATGTGAAAGTATGCACCTATACGGTTAAATTGTCAATCATTTCTATCAAAATTATTAATTTTTATCGTTTCGACAACTTGTTGACATCAGTTTTTACTTTTTGATCATAGCTGTCACCCCTCACGCCCGAGTCAATGTTGAAAATGCCGTATTTTGTCAATTACACCACAAGTTCGCAGCCTAAATGGCAGCTGCATTAGAAGTTTGACGAGAGAAATAATTTGCGGACTGGCGACAGCGGGCTGCTCCCCTGCCTGGCATTAAACTCCTTCTTTATTGCAATCAGTTAATGATGCATTCATACTGTCGTGATACAATAGCTACACCATTATTCTATTTGCGCCCCCATGGCGCAATTGCCATGGGCGCAATTAGAATTGAGGTACGTTTTTATAAAAGCGTAGAAGTTATCATGATATGCTGAAGGAAGTTTACTGTTTAAGTGAAATATAATGAAAAAATGGGCTTTCTTTCTAAATATCACTCTGAAAATCACACACGTATCACAGATTTTTATAGCCAACGGTTCAAAATACTGCAAAAAAGCTAAGGAAACGCCGTAAAATCTTTGATGGCGTAACTGAGCCCTGCTGATTGGCTTCGTCGGAGAGCTTGGGCCATAAAATGAACTATCAGGTGATGAAAATATTGTTTTCGAACACAAAATTATAAACATGCCATTGAATTCGTGGGAATGTTGGTGGGCGCAATTGGTTAGGAGGGCGCAATACACCCACTTTCCCCTACATTTGTTTCAACGTTTGTTTCTTAACCAGTTTTGGAAACTTGTTGCCGCATGGTTATTTAACCGGCGCCTAACTTGTACTGGTCAGCTGGTCAGCATACACATGGTCAGCTGCGCCCGTGACGTCAGACTTGGCGGACCAATCAGCGGTCGCCGTCCGGCCCCGGCGCGGCGGTTTCAAACCGTTCAAACCAGCAGTTGTCGCGCGGCCGCCGTGCAGCATGGATCAGCGACGAGGGCTGTTCCAGCATTTGCGCAGTAAAAAGTGAAATCTGTGAACTGTGGTGTTCGTGTTGTGAGTGAGGCCCGCTCTGGCCTGCGGGACGCACTAATCGTGCCTATACCCGCGGTCGAGACGCCTCCCTTCCCCTGCGCGCGCAATGTAAGTGGGCCAGACCTTTGCATGCACATGTGAGCAGATGTTTTGCGGTCGGTGTTTTTTTATATATAAATACATTTATTTGCCTTTAATTCAACTCTTTGTATTTTTAACTTAACTGATGGACATTGGACATATATGGGCTGTAAAAGCTAATCTGGTTGGCGATCATGCTTTATTCGAATTATCTGCGTGATCGTGCAACTGCCATGATTGTTATGGTCAATGTGGAAATATTCGTCATACGGGCATGTTATACTTCTGGCTTGATGCGATGCACAAAACCATGTTCTTCCACATACGCAGCAGTTCTTGCTTCAAAGACTTATATGCTGACGGTGCACGATAGGTATATCCTTATACCTCATGCATTTACCACATCCATTCGAAAATATGCACTTGGAATTGTCTCCAGTCAATAGTAATAATTACATACTACGTGATGTAGGTACGTGACCGTAATAAATACTAATGATTCCAGAAACTTCCGAATGGATGTGGTGTATGCACTCATCGATTATATAACCCATCAGTATTTCGTTTCTTGTCAGCGCAAGCCTTTGAGCAATAACTGATGCCAGTCATGATT